CGTTTATCAACACCCACCCCTGGAGTGGCCTCTCCAGGGGTGGGTGTTGATAAACGAAGGAAGCCAGGTGCCCAAGCAGCTGGATTTGCGAGACCGAGCTTTGTCTGGCTTCTACCCGTTGACCTTTCAGGCATGACTGGATCTGCGGCTGTGAGGAGCCATCCTGTATAGCTCGCAGAGTCATTGAGGCACGCAAGCCATCACACCACGCCAAGGTGCAGTCTCGTCGTGATGGTATCAATCGTGTATCCATTGATCAGATGACATTTTCTAGAACACCATGCTCACCAAAGACGAACCGTCATTATTTTCTTAGATATGCGTATGGTTTTATGATTCTATTGTTAGGATCGCAATTTGAAAAGTGTTCGTTGAAAATCGTTGTCGGTTTTTTCTTCAAGTTAGCTTCCGCCACTGTTCGCCGTTGCCGGGGTGGTGCGTCAAGGCTACAATAAATGCTCAGTAGTGCTCATTTTCGTCCTACTGGTCTTCAACAATAGAGCGAACAGAGGTATTGATCCAGAATATATCGATGATGCCAATATACACTCAGCCCAACATGCTTTGAACCACTTGGCGATCGGAGCACCAAAATATCGTTTTCGCTTTGCACCGTAGAAATGCAAACTTCCTTTGTAATGCCTTTAGCAACCGTTGCCTGCCTTCACCCCTCGAGATCAGCTAGACGCATTTGAAAGAACTCTGGTTACTTGGTTTAATTGCAGCTGCATACAGTGTTGGTTAAGAGATTGCATTACAGATAGCAAAATCTAGAGCAGCCTTTGCAAACCTGCGACTCCTGTGGCGCTGCCATGACATCCGATGTTCCCTTAAGAGGAGGTTGCACATCACGGTGTTTGCTTTACGATTGTGAAACTCGGTTTCTCCTCTCTGAGGGTACCAACCGACCTCCCTTATCCCAACGCCACTTTTTTCTAAGCTTTCTTTGTTTCCGGTTTATCATCGTGTGTTGGGTGTGGATAGGAGTTCTCTGAAAGCGGACCCTTCTCTCAACCACTCAATAACTTGGTAATGTTTTGCTTATATCTATCCATCACACACCTCTGTGAGGTGTTTGTGCACGCTAGGCAAAACTGGAAGAATCGACGGGTTGGTTGGATCATGGATCGGCTTCTGAGGTGTAAAGAATTTATCAATGGCATTTGCCTTGGTTGGTCAGTTCGACTTCCATGTTGGGGTCTAAGGTATGGTGATTGTTGATTGGTTAGGCTGAGAAGTCAATAACGGGATTGTTGTACTGTCTGTCTGTTTGAATCTTGTACCCCATAAAAAAATCAGTCAAACCCAAACAAGGGAAACATAAAACTTATTGGGGCAAACAAAAAGTTTCTGTATTCTGTAGTCTGTTCCGAGTCATTTCCCGTATGTGTAGTCCAGGCTCCCTGTCTTTTTTCATGCTCATTCGTGGGGCTGAGGTTTATTCCTCAGCTTACATTACTGATGAGTAGGCAATATATTCTAACGAAAAATCGAACCTTGCAGCACCTGCATTGAATTTCATTTGGACGCAAGGATTGTAGGATGTGATATTATCTCTGTCAAACCCAGTGCGGACTTTTTGTAACTCGATCTTAACTTATGACAATTTATTAGTTTGCACTTTCAGGATATGAAATTGGTGTGTAACTTGTCTAAATCTGCCTTAGTTAAAACTTCGTTAGTAAAGATTCACGAACTTTAACTCTCGAATTCAACCCTAATCATGCATTGTTTTTTATGTTCGTTCATATCCTTTTATATCATTTTACTTGATTTCATTCTCCGTCTCATTTGCCATTCTATTCATCCATGTGTCCCCTATTTCTTTCTACCTAGAAACCTGCACCCGACCCCGCCGTCGGTTCTATCCACCGGTCAATCTAATTCGGCATCTGCACCGTCTGCAACCTGGCGCGGGTCGACCGGTTTCAGACGTGGATTTCTCGGTCGATCATGTGCATTCACCCCAGGTTTCGTGTTTATCTTTCCATTCCACTGCACCCTCCAGGCCGGCAACTGCAAACGGGGTCCATCCTGTCCAATCGCCTTCATGTAACTTAACCGTAGAGGCCGCTCTCACCGGAAAGATCAATTGCACTGCGACTTCGGACATTGTTGCCCTGACGGATCCTGTTCCTGATTTGAATCTGGTGAAGTACGTACAGTGAATAATTGGCATCGTGAATATTTATTTCTTTTGTAGTTCCAATTGGCCAATTTTATTTTCATATATTCGTCCAGCTGGGTAACTTGATTGCAAATGTTTTAACGTCCATTTCCAATGTGCGATATGATGTCCGTAAGTACGCCAGACAAATGCTGACAGCTTGATCTGTGAAAACATGCTTGCATGTTGTAGTTGCAGCTACGTTCAGACGTATTGTGCACTGCGAATTTTCGTGTGACGACGTTAAACAGTGGTTTGGATGGAACTAATGTGTTTAGGGTGCCCCGGGAGTTGCATCAATCACACTGATTATGTTGAAAATACATAATCACGGAAGTTCGAAGTGGAGAATCCCAAAAATACCCATTTAATTTGATTGCTGTTTCGCTTTTTATGGTTTTCAGTCACCAGTTCTGTGCACTTTTTGATGCGTATCATTGTGTGATGGGTAGCAGAACAGGCAAACCGCATCTTCAATAAGACTCACTGTTCACTCATGATCTAAGTCCTGGGATTAGGAGTTGGGAACCACGCAGTACCGTAATAGGATATACATAGTATTAAGCCCAGTTACAGCCAATCTGCCACTTTCAAAAATGGTTCGTCAGGAAAACCCACCCCAGTGACCGCCCGTGAACTCACTGAATGTTAATGTGATGTTAACATGTTAATAGTAAAGTTCTGGACTTTTCCTGGTCGCTGTTCCTTTTCACAAGAAAACGGCTGTTTGACTGATGTTGATTTACTCAGTGCCATTGCTAGGCCGTCATCGAGCTGCTATTGCTCCCATTTTCTCTACGCTCATTAACATGATAAGCTGTAGAAGGAATGCACCACATATTCGCCGGGTCCTGCGATTCACCTAAAAGTACCGACAGTGTAATGGTTTGAGACGTAAGGTATTTATTCAGACGACAAACAAACTTTCCATAATTAATATCTTGTGTTAGTGGTGACAGCTTCGTTGGTCACTAGATTAGATTCTGGGATCTTAAGTCTTAGGTCACTGATGACACGGGCGAACCGGGCTTNNNNGCCAACTGCTGTTGCTCTCAGTCATTTCTGTGATCGTTTCTTGACTATCGTCTCAGTACTGAATAGCTCACCCTGAATGTGCAGACAGTGTCAAACTACTGCGCCTTCTACTCGATCGACTGGAAAATAGATGAATGCTTTCCAGACTTCTGAGGATCTATCCTCTGCTAAAACAAGTTTTGTTGTTAGTAAATGATCGGGTTTATACTGACTATTCCGTCTTTACCCTCCATTTTCGGAACAGTTGGTTATACATTGATTGAAAGAATTTCCCCGTAGCTTTTTATTGTGATGCAATCAGCAATATGGGTGTCGTTCTTTGTCACTTCGGGTCGTTTTGTGTCATGTCATATTTCAGTCTCGGTCTTATTCAACACCATCCGGACGAAATCATTCCAATCTCGAGTTCCTTGTTGGCATCGAATTCATTTTCCAGTGTACCCGTATGTCGTCTACTTCAACCCCCGTTGACTGATGTTGGTTCCGCCGAAATGTGGCCGTTCAATTCCGCTCATCCTCCCCCGTCCTCAAACGCCACTGGACACCCATTGTGGCCGTGGTCGATCACTCAAACTGGTGCATCCCGTACTCTGCATCCGGGCTTGGCAGTCAATTCTGGGGTGATGTGGCCAGAATTCACACTCGATGGCTGGAATAATTCTTGTTCAGGTGGAACAACCGCTACCGGATCGGCAAATCCGGTCGAGGTGATGCGAGTGAGTAATGCTTTTCTTGCTGGGCGGTTTTACTTGAATCTTATTTCATACATGTCATCCTCTTTTCACGTTCACGTAGTCTCGCATTCAGTGGTAACCGGATCACATTCACTTTACTATCGCATGTTCAATGCAAACAGATATTGATAACGTTTCATAAACCAATGGAAACTATTTCCAGTACAAATGACGATAGACCTTTTTTATTTCTGTTTGTGCGGTATAGAGCAAATGTGCGCATAGTGTTCACGAAACGGAGCGCTTCCAGTAGAAGGTGGCAGAGTTTGAACACTAGTCGATCATTCAAATCACTTGACCACCGCTGCTTTCAACTGCGTAGGTTACCGTAGTTCTTCAGTGACTGTAGTTCAGAGACCTGGGAGTTTATCTCAGTGCATGTGTTCATTCAGCGATAGTAGAATATAACCAATGAGTATGGGAAGTTCCAACTGCTTTTCTGTCCCGTACCTCGATGTGTTTAATCTAAGCCACAGTAAATACTGACGGTGCTTTTTTGCTATTTTGTTGCTTCCTTTCGGTCTACTGTACTACAACAACTTGGGGTGAATAAGTTCATGAAATCACTGAGAAGCACATTATCTTCATGGACGTAATCGGTGCTTCTGTACTTACTGAGGTGTATCTTAAATCGCTTTTTGTTCGCTCTCTGTATTGTTGGTAGTCAACCCATCTGTCCTAACAACCCGGTGATCCACAGGATAAAACTAACCGTGTTCTTCTAAAGTTTAGAGACTTGCAATACCATCACTGCGCACACATGAGTTTGATGCTTCTTGTCGCATCGCAGAAATCAAAGAAATATATTCCATGTCCACATGTTCTCAGATTGTGTTGCATATAATCTTGAAGGTTGACTGACAAATCTGATAAGCCCCCAAAGGTGTGGTCCCTCTACAGTAATTACGCATCTAGTTTCTTCTGTGGTACGTTTTATCTGTTCCCGACTGTTAATTAGTTGTGGTGGTAGCGTAGTGGTTTAGTCGCTGTCACCGGCTGCAACTCCGGGCAAGATTCTTCACAAACAGAGCGATCCCACTGTGGAATAGGCTGTCAGAACACGTGGACAGATGCAGCACCGTAATGGTATTCAAGACCGCCCTGGATGACTGTTGGAGAACGGTCTACCCAGAAGCGGCCTAGTGAGGAGTAAGGAGCTAAGAAAACACTCACGGACTCCAGCCGGTAAGGTTTGATGTTTACAGATGTGGATGTATGCTAGAGATAGGTGTTTTCTGTTAGGTATTTTCTATGAATCCGCCAGGTGCTAACATCTTACATTTCATGTCAATTCCGCCAGGTGTCAATGGTCAGGATCAGGGTCCTTCATACTAACCTATAGCAGCTTGGCCCAGGCCTAGAAACACCCCAGCTGGGAACGTATACTGAGGATTGAGACAACTAGACCCACCAACGGTCGATCGCTGGAATCGACAATATGCAGTGTTGGAAGCTACAAACACCCGCCAATAGCGCAACAATCTGGACGCTCGATTGGCTTGAAGCCACATTTCGTCCTGTGCATACTGAACTGAACTGACCCTATGGTTCGAGGTTCGAGCCCCGCCACTGCCACCCAACTTTGGCAGTTGGCAGTTTTACTGTCATCCGGTTCAATACCACACCTGACCTAGCGGGGCCATATGTGGTTCTCCACTCTAAATCCCGGGGCTTAGGTTACCGGTTACCACCACTGAACAGCAGGTCTTAGTGACCATGTGGTCCACCCCGTCTGCTATTCATCACACAGTTTTGTAATTAAAAAAATTAGTTGTATACTTATTATGACATTAACTTATACACTTCCCTTGGATGTTTTCGAGTTGCACCCAACTCAGTTTGGTGGGAAATTCCCAAAAGTGCCGGTCGGGAGTTTGCCATCTTTCACATTTTTTCTCGAGGCACGAACCCTGGCTGTATTTTCTGTCTGTACTGTCATGCTGAAGGTCCTTGCTCTACTATACAGCGGAGATTCATACGATCAGCGTGACCCCTTGTAACTGCCTGAGATTAGTAAGAGCTGAGTAACATTTATCCCAATGTGTCTGCGTGAAGTAACGCGACATAGCGTATCACGCTATTTAACTATGCCATGTAGAGGGACGTACATGTACGATGGTACTGCAAAAGTAGAATATTTTCTTCCTTATCCATACAGTTTCGTGCAGCACACTATTAAAATCACCAGATTATGATGCATAACCATTCCTTAGATGAAATTTCGAGATGGTTTAAAGATTAATCATTGATTTAATATGGAACACTCGGACAGTAAAGCGGGTCATCATAAGCTAGTGTGTGGTCCTGTCTTTCTAGCACCCTTTCAAGCAGCGGTGATCGTGTGATATATGCTATACTTCGTGTGCGCCCCTCCCCCCGCCACCGTATCCCTGTTTCGCAACTCACCGGTTTGTCGGCCTTCTATTAGTCACAGTCCTCTTGAACATTGATTTTACACCTCTTGCATATCGGATTCGAGGGCTGAGCAAAAGCTTCTGGAAAGGCAGTACACGTACGAGATGCAGATGACTGGGAAAGGAAAACGTGAACCTTAGTCGGTTATGAATATTGTTCATTGGTTGCAACTCACAGAACCAAATATCAACAGCCGAGTACAGCTCACAAGTCATACGGGTCGCTATACTCGGAATCTCACTGACCGGTATGCGACGACCTTTGGTGTTACCTATTAGATGAAACAGTCTTTTACTATTCCCTGATGCAGAAGCTACCTCCATTTCACTAGCTATTTTGGCCCACTAATTCTTGCGATCTTTCTTAAGGCTTTTCCTGAGTTGACGTTGCAGGCGACACCGGTCCCTTTGCTGATCCTGGCAGATTAGGATCTTTCGCTTTTGATCCATCAGGATTACTGATTCCTGAGAGATCCAATGTCTTCGGCGAACTGCGGGCTCGGTTCCACAAGCAAAGTTTGCTACTGAGTGCTTCGCAAATCTAATCTGATTCCACTGTTAGTCTACTCTACTATGTCTCGGATGTCCTAGCTCTTGTCCCAGCTTCTCATCATAACGTCTGCTGACAGATGGATCACGCAGATAATGAGCTTACTGAGGAGGCGCTTTCTGCCAATGACCGATGAGTCAAAGAGTGAAGCGTAACAGAACTAGTGCATGATCCGAATCAACGCAGGTGGTTCAATAGAATCTGCAATTTTGTACTGAACCACGCCACCGGTAGCTTATAGCTATGTGGTCAATTTGGGTCAATGTGCCCGTTGAACTAGAACACCATGTAGCCGTTCGACGAGAGCTACGTCGGAAGTTGGTGCTAGAACAGCCGGTGATCCGCGCAGAGCTGAAGTAGTCGGTCACCGTTGTCTGTTCGCCGGGTGGCAGGGCGAAACGCCCTCCTGGATAGGGTTCGGATGCACTCAGTTTTTCAACGTGCTCGTTAGAATCACCTGCCAGCACTATAATATCAGAGCTGCGGCTCAATCGAATGAGTTCGATGTGAGGGGAGCGTGTGACTTTTTTGTGTTCCCAAATGTCGAGTGCATGATGCACGGTATCCAACAGCTGCGTTGGTGACATTCATTGAACTGGTCGAAGGGTTATCCGCTTCGGCATTGTCGCGCTGTTTCACCAAATGGTACTGAGCGCATGAACCCTGGTGGCGAATACTTCGAGACATGTGAAGCTTATTTTTGTGTAACAATTAAAACCTTTTGCTCATTCCTCGTAAATGGAAGTGAAAATATAATAATTAGCGTTGGTGGGTTCGCAATCACCCAGCGGATATTTGTTTATGATAAGTAGATGCAAAATTCCGTTCAGAAAGTGATCCGGTTTTTCGCAACATGCGGTGCAGTACTATTTTTCTTTCGTTAGTGCTGGCAAATAACTCTCGGAGAAATACAATGTGACCTCGCCACCTTTTCTTTCTGACCAAATAGTGACATTACGTGCAGTTTCGATTTTGGGTAAACTGGACACCAGATTTGACATCGTCAGGATTTTACGCCCTTGCACTATTCTGTTGGTCACCGCCGACTTTTCCAAGGGACGCTAAATCTAATCATGTGTGCTTGCAGTATCAAAGACTGGTACATCTTTTCTGATGCCCACTGCCATATACATCTTTACAGTTTTTAAAACGCTGAAGGAAGAATAGTCACTTTTTTCGCATGTTATTCACTTGTGCTCCTTGTGAGGTCAAACAATATCGTAATGTTTTAAATCCACAAGGCATTGCCAGGACGAGAGTAGTAATCCATTTCAAAAACTGTAAGGGTATCGGTAAATTGGCCTACGCAACAAATGTTTTATTTGAAGCAAGTCATCAGAACTATCACAAGTATACAGGATGATTAATGGAACGGTCCGACGGTGGATGCACATTTCTCGTCGTTACAAAAACAAATCCTTCCATCCATTCGGAAATTCAGTGGGATCCAATAACCGCTTATTGGTGTGCAAACTACTCCCAAGTGTGAGTACTACTTCACATTCCTTTTGGTCTGATTGTTGCTCGCTCTAATGACTAATTCGTGCCTTGAAGTTAATGCTTTTTAAGGGGCGATACACTAACGCGGCTGAGACTGTAGTCCTGATTTCCTTTTTGCCCACAGTATTCACATGATTCAACGCGATCACAATAAAGCGTCTTTTCATGCAAACTTATATAGGAACTTTATTTTTGCGCGACAGAGTTTGTGCGATTCCTAGTCACACTGTGGTTTTTTTGTGTCATTCGATCCACATGTGACTTCTGTGATTCGCTTGTTTCAATGATTTTTTCTCCATACTGTACTTATACAGACCGAAGTTTGCCTACATTTTTGGCAATTATTTGTTTGTATTCTCACCGGGTCTATCCCACAGGAACGAGCACGCCGTAACAATGTTTTTCTCTACATCAAGATTCCCGGATTTCCTATATGTTTGAGCTATAAAGTGAGTCCCATTTCATGCCTTGTCTTATTACATTTTGAGCTGTGCATTTTCACCACCTTATTGCATTTGACATTCCTTTCATTTGGATTTTTACATCAGATTCAGCTGCGGAACATTAGCAGTAGCACCCAACAACTTTGTCATATGATAGGTAGCGATGGTATTCTTGCCTGTGATGGCTAACAAAGAGGACTGGACAACTGTATGGCCGTTGTTCTTCTTTCTTTTTCTTTTCGACACTGCATACTATTTGAATAAAACAAGTAACACAATATGAGCAGAATTGATATTGACCATCAATTTCGCGTGCTCTCAGTCAGCTGTCTATGCAC